TCGAGCGGATCTCAAGACCCATCTGTTTTCAAAATTCATTGAGGAGCGCTGTTGAACATCGCGGAAATAGCGCTTTATAAGCTAATTGATTGATTGATTGATTGATTGATTGATTGATTGATTGATTGATTGATTGATTGATTGATTGATTGATTGGTTGGTTGGTTGGTTGGTTGGTTGGTTGGTTGGTTGGTTGGTTGATTGATTGATTGATTGATTGATTGATTGATTGATTGATTGATTGATTGATTGATTGATTGATTGATTGATTGATTGATTGATTGATTGATTGATTGATTGATTGATTGATTGATTGATTGATTGATTGATTGATTGATTGATTGATTGATTGATTGATTGATTGATTGATTGATTGATTGATTGATTGATTGATTGATTGATTGATTGATTGATTGATTGATTGATTGATTGATTGATTGATTGATTGATTGATTGATTGATTGATTGATTGATTGATTGATTGATTGATTGATTGATTGATTGATTGATTGATTGATTGATTGATTGATTGATTGATTGATTGATAGCAAAAGTAACTAGTAGGCCTATATAGTAAACAGTTTAAATTTTTCTGAGAGAATTCAAAATAATTTGAGACTACAACATAACACAATTGTACAATTTGAATGTGTAAATATATCATTATAAATGTATTATAATTATAACCACTATCTATTTCTATTTCTTTATTTAGTTTTGCCTACGGATGATATTTGGTCAAATTTATTTGGTAGGAGTTGAATATAACTTTTATTTACACCAGCTAATTCACTAACAGACAGTTTAATAACTACCATTGATTGATAACTACTAGTAATATGACATCATTTGCCCATCCTATTTTTCTAAGTTTAATTTGATATTTTTTAATTAGTCAGTCACGATCATCATCGTCGACATCGCAATGAAATCAAATTGAGAATTTTTCAAATTTTAACAAAAAGTATCATTATTCATTTTATGATACTACTTTGTTCAATAAGATACTGTTTGTTATTGTACTATCAATTAACCAGTCAACCAACAAATAAATCAATTAATCAACCGCTGAATCAAATCAACTGACCAAACAATCATTCAATCATTTAACTAAACAATCAACTAATTAACCAATAAACCTTGAATTATGTAATTTGAAATAATTTTTGTCAATTTTAATGAATTGCAGTTTCGTAAGTAAGCTAACTTATTGCTTTGTTAAGCGGTAAGTCAGCCACCGTGTTTTCGAAACAAAGAGCAATCGTTTCATTTAAATTGACAAAAATTATTTCAAATTACATAATTCGATTTAAGTATAATGTTTTAAACATATTAAGTCAAGTTTATATTAAGTTTTAGTTGTTTGTTAAAATCCATGCAATTTCGTAATTAAGCCAACTAACTTTATTTATTCAAATCTGCTGAAGTAATTAGTAGAAGCTGCTCGCTTGGCTTCATCAACATGGACCCCAGAGAGACTCAGCTATGGCCACAAAATACGCATACATTCTCGCACACGTACAGATATGCGAACAAAGTTAAAAACAAAATTTTTTAATCTGAAAATTTTTAAAAATTGAAAATTTAGTTTTGCGGGCGGTTTTTTAAATAACGCACTTGAATCCGCATCCTCGGCAAACCGCACAAACAAAATCCGCAAACCACAAAATCCGCAGTTTCGCAGAGTTTTGGAAATTTATCCGCTTGAGGCTCTAGTCTCCCAGAAGTGCAAGGAGTTTTAAACATTTCACTACTGGGCCGCCAAGCATACATTTTTGTAAAAGTAAAATTTGGATATTATTATTCAGCTAAACGTAGTAATAAATTAACACGTTATGTGCTACATTCAGATTTAACGTAATAGGCAATTAGAAAAATATTCTATCATCTCATAGAATTCTGACATCAAATGTTGGTTTTATTTCTTTTTGTTTGTTTTTTTTCATATTCAATTTTTTCTTAATAATGCGGGTTTTAGTTTTAATGAATTAATCTATATTCTGTGCAGAACCCTTGACAGGACCACTCTGAATCATAACATAATCACCATTAAATATGATTATTGCAAATAAATTATTATCCATTACTTGATAAGCGTTAGTTAACGTCCATATACGTACTATAAGTATGCGTATAACATTAATTTGACATCTTCTTTAAAAATCAGCTATTCTGCCACTTTTGCACTTTAGAGTTTTTGGTAATTAATAACTTGTTTATTTTCCGGCTTCCCTTTCTTTTTCATCAAACGTAACCTATCTGGTAGGTTGCAATCCGTAACCATCCAGCGTTTGAAAGATTGAAAGTCTGAAAGAAATTTAAAATGGGTCCCAAATTTGATCCTTCTGAAATTAAAATTGGTTTGTTAAGATTTTTTATGTTTTTTGTTGAATAAATCTACTTTTAAGGTCCCTTCGGTCTCGTGCTAGGTAATGTTGCATGTTTATGTGCATTCGTGATATTTGTTTACTTTCAAAGATTTTTTTCATGATTTGTGTATTATTTTTACAAAAATTGTGGCTAAGTTAAAAGTATTTGTAAAAATTTAGCATTGCCAAAAAATGATCATTTACGAGTTGTTACCTTGTTTTCATTTTATTATTAAAAATTTAATTACATTTGTATATTTTAATGTTCGTCAGTATGTTTAAGGGCCGTCGGTGGTGAAGTTGGTGCCACATCAGCTCTTGCCCCAAAAATTGGTCCCTTGGGTCTTAGTCCAAAAAAGGTTGGTGAAGATATTGCAAAGGCTTCCCAAGATTGGAAGGCTTGAGGGTGACTGTCCAGCTGACAATTCAGAATCGTCAGGCCCAAGTTACTGTCATACCTTCTGCTTCTTCTCTCATCATTAAGGCCCTGAAGGAACCCCCAAGAGATAGAAAGAAAGTGAAAAATAGTAAGTTGAATTTTTTAATCAATCTCCTATTTTTCTGTTTGGTAATGTTATTTATTACTCATTGAATAACTTTTCATAGTGTCCTGGTTATGACATTAAACTGACCCTCACTGCCTTGTGAGTGATGTTGGATCATCAAAGGCTAGGCCCACCGCTTATAATTGTGGTGGCGTGAAGGGCGTCCTGCGTAAAAATTAGCCAAATAAATTACTTATGATGGAATGGCGTCGAGGGGTATTTCGGTTTCATCATAGGTAGCCAAACGGCAACCCCCGATCTCGGGGAAAATGTCGTCTAAACGTGTGTTGTTGTTGTTGTGAATAACTTTTCATACTTACCAAAACTAACTAGGCTAAATAATATATAAAAGTTGAATGAATAATAAATGATGCATTTGGTGTATTTAAAATACAGCATGTCTTGGTCATTTGTTGACTGAACTATATTTGCATTGGTTTTTCAACAAGTTTTAAATTACTAAATTGTATATAATCTTAGCCAGTTTTCAATTTTAATAATTATTAAATTAATGATTTATCATTAATCCTTATCAAATAAGTCAAGCACAGTGGAAACTTGACAATCGAGGAGATTATTGGCATTGCCAGGATCATGAAAGCAAGAAGTATGGCTAAAAATTTGGCTGGAACTGTCAAAGAAGTTCTAGGTTAGTTTTATTTTGTGTTAGTGATTCATTTGTTCTCATTTAGAATTTTATTGATTAATGTATTAAAATTAAAACACTTTAAAATATATACAACCCTAAGGTACCTGCCAGTCTGTTGGATGCACAGTCGAAGGCAGCCATCCTCATGATATCATCGATAAAATCAACTCAGGAGATATTGATATTCCTGAGGTTATTTTAAAATTTTCTAATTACTGAGTAATTAATTAGGACATTTTCTTTATTTGGAATTTTTATTCTAAATGCTTGAATATTTTATCCTTTGTTTAATGATTGTACTGTTATTTTTTTATGCAGGCTTAGAGTCAAGGATCTTTCAAAAAATGACTAATTAAATTCTTTTTTGAATAAAAGAAAATGGTATTTTTAAATCTTCATTTTGTTTGTTTTAATTTTTCAAAAGAAAAGATAAAACTAGAACCATAGGTATCAAATTAATTATGATCACAGGCAGACATAAAGTGCACTTAATGGTGTGTGCTATATGTGCAAATACCTATGCCTGACATTAATTTTTATTGTACGGTCATCTCATTGCATTGTGTGCTGGTTTTTCTTTGTTGTAAGTAAGGAACGTGACTTAATTTATCCTTGTTAATGTGTTTTCCATGTATTTAAAAATCTCACACGAGATCGGTTGTAGTTTATTTGATGAATTTGTAGTATGTATATTTGTGAAAAAAGAGGGTTTTTGTGGTTGTTAATGAAGTTACTACCCTGAAAATTGTTGTTGCCAGTTGCCAATTATCTGAATGGTTGTACAGCACCAAAATGGAAAATGCCACAATCTCTTATGGAAATATTTTTACAGAAGATTCACTGAACAGCACAAATACTTCTACAATAGTCACGTCTGATGATGAGTTAGTCAATGAAATCATCAAATCTATTGTAATAGTTGTTGCTGTGACTGGTACTGTGGCTAATGGTTTTGTGCTGTTTGTCGTCTACTACATATCAAAATCAAGCAAAACCAATGTTCTAGTGGTTAATCAACTAGCCTGTGATTTGTTTGCATCGGTATTTGTGGTTATAACATTTGCCTGGAAACTATCAGGTGTCAAGTTACGAGGTACGATGAACAGAGTGTTCTGTTTATTATTTGGAAGTGAGGCCATCATGTGGGTCGGTGTCAATGCTTCAGTTTTCAATTTGGTGTTCATCGCTATTGAAAGGTTCATTGTGACACGGTTTTCACTGTGGCATCGAAATCATTACAAACCTTGGTTCGGTTACGCTATCGTCGTTTTTATATGGTTAGATGGCTTAATAACGAATGTGCCAACGACATATGTTTCAGCAGATTTCTCGGATTACACCTGCAGTCCGTTCACGATGTGGCCTACAAAAGCTGCCGGTACGGCGTTCATATCCTACTACATCCTGTCCGTATACGTCATTCCATTAATTGTTTTTGTGTTTTGTTACACCAACATCATTCTCGTTGTCAGGGGAAACTCGAAAATACATGCGACGTCAGGTCAAACTGGTCACAGTGATACTAATCATAATGATAAGAACCAGATAAACATTATGAAGACGATGATGATCATAACTGTTACTTTCACGGTTCTCTGGTTGCCGTCAGAGTTGTATTTCATCATGATTAACGCCGAATGCTGTGGTTTTAGTATTTTAACTAAAGAGTGGAATTTATTTTTATTGTTTGGATTTTCAACTAGCTGCATTAATCCTTTTATATATGGCGTTAGGACTGGAAATTTTAAATCTTTCATTAAGACTTTCAAGAAATAATTCTCAAGTTATTATGAAGTTGGGTTAAATTCCGTCCAAACATTTTATGTAGCGTTTATGTTAGCACATTTTATATACGAATTCATCTTGTGGTATGTATATATATATATATATATATATATATTAACACTATTGATCGTGGAGAATTTTGGACATGAGAAGGTGAATGGATTGTCGACATGCGTGTTGCTATTTTACTGGTTTGCAATTGTAAAGTTTCAGAGTGCATGCTTAAAAATTGAGTTGGGCTCAGTCGTTTAGGTAGGCATGACGTACAAAAACTTTATTTATTTTCATTTGGAATTGTTTTTTGGCTCAAATGGTCAACAAACAATTCTTGAGCTTTTTTTCTTACAAAGATAAAGGCGACCGTAATTAAACGTCTATTTAGATGTCTTTGCTAGCTTAGTTTTTAAATGAAAATATCAAATAATATTGAATAAATATTTTTTAAAAATGTGGAAAAAACGTAATAAATTCGTCTGCCTATTTCTCTAAATCCAGAACGAGGTGAGGTGAGTTGTATTTTTGTACGATTGTTTCACAAATATCGCCAGCGACGTTTACGTGAGTACATGCATTCTGTAATTGTAATTAATAATTGCTAAGTTAATAATAGCACGATCTAAAATAGCTGATTTCACCGAGAGCCAACTCTACTGGAGTAATTATTTTTGTATTTTTCATATTAGCACTTGTGTCCAAAGATAAGCACCTGCTAATTGGTTAATGGCGTATTAATTTTGACATTCATGCATACAATACAACGGTTGATGTGAATATATATATAAGTGTGATACGTACATTCATCACGTGCATACTTCACAAATTGATCGGAAGTGCTGATGATGCCGAGACGACCTATCTAAGTTATTCTACATTTAATTAAATAGTGGATTATTAACATTTATCTGCACGTTTATGCATGTTTCTCTACATACTTGTAATACAACAATACTGCACGTAAAAAGTTAGTGGAGGCTTGGCGCTTTCACGTAGCAGGATTGGGAAATTGAAAGTAATTGGTTGGCATTTTACAACAAAAAAAATGATGGTGTTTACATGCTAATGCGTCCATTTTTTAGAGACGAACCAAAATATTTTATCAAAATCTGTATCACTTTACTTACAACGTTAGTGTATCTAAATTTCAGGACTATTTTCAGATGAAAAAATCTGGATTAAAAAATGGGTAAGGCGGTTTCAAAAGTTGGCCTACAATTTAGACGCGGAAAAATAGAAGAATAAAGCAATTATTTGAGAGAATATACATGTCAGAACAGGTGAAAAGCATGTTACATTAACAGACAATGAAATTGCATCACCATCGTTACATTAATTACACGTAATTCCGAGAAATAATAAGAACAAAAGAAAGCAAATGTGTAAATAAACATCCAGCTGATAAATATTAATGAGGCAGTTTTTGGTAAATGTCGCTAGAGTGGAAAACACGTGAAGTGAACGTGTCCCAACTTCTGCTTGAATCTGATTGGTTGAATTTTATTCAGGTCAAGGTAGGCCAGCACGTGAAGTGTGCATAGCAACAGAAAAGTAGGACGCGTGCAATGCAAATGTTTATATAGGATAGATGCGTTCATTGTTGTCATCAAATCTTCGTCAAAGCTCACGAAATTTCTCTTCTAAAGTTCGTTTCAGTTGTTAGATGAATTCGAATAAAGTTAATCAAGAAACAGTTTTAAAGCAGCTCATGTTAGTCATTTCTATAAACTATTTTTGTTCATTTTTATATTTGTTATATTTCAAATGATGATCGGTGTGAATTGAAAATAATGAATGGACATGTGAAAATTTGCTAATTTTTCAAATTTGGATTTTCAAGCGTCTCGGTTTTATTATTTTTTAAAAATTCTCTGTTTTTCTTATTTCAGATCAGTTCTAGTTCATGAAAAGTTAAAAAGTATTTTAAAGAATAGTAGCGTTATTGTGGACGAGAAAATGAAAATGGATAGCCAACTCCTGAGTTCCAAGAAGCGACTTTCTTCTCTGTTCAGACGCATCGTTCACCACAAGTCAACGAACGAGCATCAGAATAATAATATTTTAAACTCTAAAAAAACTAAAGTCACAAAAAGTCAGGAGCAAGTTGAGAAAACAGAACAAGATCAACAGTGTAATAAAGAGAACATTCACGAACCTGACCCTCTGATGACTGTTGAGTCTTGCATTCTCACAACACCACCCAACTCGCCCTGCTTAACAACGATCCTTAAAAAGTCCCAAACGGACCCGTCGTGCAGGCACATGTCATCATCCCAGCGACATGCCACCTTCAAAGAAATTGTAAAAGTTCACGAATATGTTATTCAAGATTCAATGTCTCTGACGGCTGAGGAGCACTACACGAGTGAAGCTTCACTTACAGATGAAGATGAAAATATTCACCCGGTCAGGAAAGGTTTCTACTTGGATAATGGAGTGACCGAGGAAGATGAGGGAGAAGGTGGTGAAGATCTTGACCGACAAATTACCCCAAGTGATGAGTCTTTCTATAAACCGTCACCATTAACTAGAGCTGAGAAGGCCAACATTTTTGCAAATCTCAACAACCCGACTGTGGATGAGGAGGATGACGGGCAGAATAGTGACGACAGCCAAAAGTTAATCTCCACTTTAAAAGCGAAAAAATTTCAGCACTGCAAGTCTTCACCGACTGTCGGCAAGAAATCAAAAAAGACCCAACAGCAACAAAACCACCATGTAAATAAGACTAAGAAGAACAAAGTTGAAGAGCTGCCCGATGACCTGATGTTTGATTTCGCTTGTTGCTGATCTACCAGTGCGATTTATTATACTCAAAAATTAAGAATCTAAACTTACATTAGTGAAATCTGATATAATTTGATATTCAAAATAGTACAGACACCCAGTAGTAGCTTAATGTTACTAAGTTACATTATATAGATTGTAAATTTACATCCAACTAGTTGGCTACAAAAAGCACATCAGTGTATTGTATATCATTCTGAAGATTTTTATAGTTTTATTTTAGATAGTTTTCTCACATTTTTTCTTTTATTTGTCGAGAACATTTTTCTGTAGTTTTTTTTTCAAATGGTATACATGTGACTTCTATTTTATATATGTCTGAATCTCTTAAGAAAAATTTCTCATGTTTGTGTGTATGTATGTGTACGTTACTGTGTGTAGATGTGGGTGTCATCCCATTTTTTCCCATATTAACAATTGTATATGTTTTGTGGTTTAAATTTTTTAAAATCTTACAATATTTGTTAACTGTTTGTAGTTGGTGTGTGTGTGTGTATTTTTTTTTCTGTGTGACTCTCACACAGTTGAATCTCACAATTTTGTATGTGTATTTCCTCTCAAATGAGCATGACTACTCTTTATGCGTGTGTTGTGTGTGCTTACGTTTTTATGTGTTTGTGCTGTCTTGGTGATACACTTTTGAAATCACCGAATTTTCCTATTATATTTGTTTTTCAGCTGTTCAACAATACCGTTACTAAATATTACTATAATGCTACTACTTTTATTACTGCTAATACTTTTGGCTGGCTGTGTTCGTGTGTGTGTGTGGTGTGTGATGATTACTTAGTATAAGTAAACTTACGATGTTTTGTTGTAATCTGTATCTTTACAACTGTAATATTATTTAATAGTTTTTTCATAAATTGTATTGAATTGTAAGCGTATCAGTGTCATTTATGTTTAATAATTTTTCACCCAGGACTAGTTCATTCATTTATTTGTTCATTCATTTATTCATTCTTATTTTATTCGTTCTTTCTTTTAATTAATTAATTGATTAATTAATTAATTATTCATTTCTGATTTATAGACAGTAATAATTAATTTTTTCATAAATTATTATCAACTCATTCAATTTCGTTCTTATTGCTATATTATGAATCACTTTTAGTTTGCAAATATAGAAGAAATTAATAATTATAAAGGAATAATTATTTTATAATATTTATGAGATAATAATGATCTAGTAGGATTTTTTTTTGTTTAATTAATATGTAATGATATAATATAGACCTCATCGATTAATTTGTATTTCATGAGTGCTGATGATGATGTGGAGTGAGTGAATGAATGAGTGAGTTATAGTTGAATAAATAAGTAGACGACGAAAATATTTTTGTGTTTGTTCTTAAAAAGTAGAAAATGAATTCAAGTTTAGCAAGGTTAAATTGTTTCAATGATAGCTAAGCATTCCAGGAAAATTTAAGATGATGAGTTATGGTAAATTTTAGGATGTAGATTTATTCATAAAACATTCGAAATTACAAATATTATTTACTGATTAAACGTAATCTCGTGATGAGATGATGGTAGCTGGTGATACTGTTAGCTACTCATATGATGGCAGATGATAAAAACTACGTATATAGTGTTGTCATTGTTAACTATATTGTTAACTTATATCATAGCTAACAATATAATGAACATAAAACGCATACATTAATGTTCGTGTGTGCGCGCGTGTGTGCGTGCGAGTATTAGAATTAAGGCCAAAAATACTCGATGTTTGCTGACAACATATTTACATGGGACAATGGGTAATAAATATAGTATGAATAAATAAACATTCTAATAAATCACAAGTACAATACACATGTTGCTATTTTTAAATGTAGCATTGTTAATTTTCTATTAATAAACTTGTTTACAATCTGCGGCCGGTCAGGTAAACACCATAAATTATTATGACGTCATAGTACGTTTGACATTGTATATGTATGTTGTGATTTTCAACAATAATTGCATTTCTGACAGTCTTTTCATGCAAGATGTCAAATACCAATGTGAAAGTTCCGTTGGTTGGTTGCAAGAGAAATAATTATCGAGATGTATTTTGAATGATTTTGACTCTAGAAACACAAATTCATCCTATATTTAACTATTTAGATGATAATAATAATAAAAATATAATAAAATAGTTGAATACGTAAACAAAAATGGAGAATTTTTACCATTTGATACAAAAATTTGAGTTGGAGACATTTTTATAGCGCTATTTATTAATGAATGAATTAAAAGATAACTTAAAAAAATCTTCAAGAATGTTTTATTTTTACATATAACTTTCATCAAAGCAACGCATATATACAATAAACAAATCCAATAATCTAATTATCCATAGAAGAAAGAAAACTAAAACACAGAAAATTAAATACTTAAATTAACCTTTAAATGCATTTCTTTGTATGTAAACAAATTTTGTGAACAATGTGCTTTGTTTACTATTTCATGTCTATGTAGTATGTACACATAATGTTTATGCCTATGTGTACATATAATTAGATATAAGTATATAAAAAGTCTTTCTAACAAACTCATATATATATATATATATATATATTTATATATGTATATGTACATACATACACACATATATTTTACATAAAAAATTTATAACGCAACATAAATATATATCTATGTAAATATGTATGTATATATAAGTGTACGCTCATATAAAGTTGTACACGTTAATAAGTGTGTACACGCTTTTTTAAAGTTTCTTAGTTTTTTGATTTAATTGTTGACGATTAGTTTCTAATAATTTAATTTAATTATTAATTGTTGTTTTTGTTCATTCGTTTATTGAGATTTAAAATGTTTTAATTATTTATAAAAAGTAAGATAAAGAATTAGAAAAGGAAGATGAATGAAATTATTGATTATTGCCCACCATCATCTGACTGGAGAACGTTAGTGAAGTTTGCTCTCTGAATTAAATTAAATTATTTTAAAACTCAATTTATTAATTGTTTCCTTTTGCCAGGTGCTCACAAACCGGCCTAAAATATCGAGCCCTAAAAAAATTTGCATCAGTAGTGAATGGGGAATCGACAACGAATGATCACAACAGCCAAAACGATGACGAGGATGAAGATGGTCATCATCACAATGAAATGAACTTTGACTCCAAGAAAAAAATTAAGTTGGAATACGAACCAAGGGGTAAACTGCTTGAAAATATTGTAAACACTGAAGATTTCATTGATCTACTATGCTATGGGGGTGGGGCTTTTAAAAATTATTTAAATTTTTTACTTATTCTTTCATCCATTCATTCATACATTCATTCATTCACCCATTCATTCACCCATCCATTTATTCATTTTTCCATTTCTTAGCCATTCATTTATTTTAATCATAATATAATCCATTAATTCATCTAACAATCCAATATTTATTTAATAATTATAATTAAATTAAATAGATTATGACAAATTCATTTGTTTTATTAGTGGCTTAATTCTTTTCATCATCACCTTATCATCATCACCATCATTTTGTCATTATTATATAATATCTTGTTACCTATCATCCTTATTATCATTTTATTTGGTAAAAGCATCTTAAGTTATTTTTCATTCATCCAGCTGACAGAATGTTTCTATCGAGTCTGTCCCAACAGCTTGTGAGTTTTTTTTTCATTATCAATTAATAAATAAACAAAATAAATAAAATTAACAAATAAAATTATTATTTTATATAAAAAATTTACTATTACATTTCAATAGAGTTTAATTAAACATTAATAATTTGTTTGTTAACATTTTTCAGATAGAGAACAAACAGCAGCTGCAGTCATCATCAGACGGCCCTTCACAGCTGAAACAAATAAAATGCTCATCTGAAAATAAAATCAAAAGAGAGTTGAAAAATAGCAAATTATTAACGTCAAATAATAGAAACAAACACAACAACAACAACAACAACAGCAACAACAAACACAACAACAACAGCAGCAGCTTCAACAACAGAACCTCAAGACACAAACTTACACTTGAAAAATCAAAATCCACCTCAAAACTGCCACCACCACCAACAACAACAACAACATTATCATCTCACAGACACAACAACAATAACAACAACAAAACAGCAACGAAAACTTCAACACCGTTACAACCATCAACAACAACAACATTATCTTCCAGAAAACGACAGCATTCCAGATCGACCAACAACAACAACAACAGCAGATCAACAGCGTCTACAAAATCAAACGCCAACACATCGTTGCCTATTTTAGATCCTAATTCACTTTTAAAAAATCGTCTGCGGGCTAGCACAAAAGCCCTGACGGCGGCCAGCACTAAGGACCACCTCCTAACTATCCAAAGAAGGTTGTCTCAGGAACTATCACCCATGAAGTATAGTCAATCTACTAAACACGCTGCTACTACTACTACCGCTGCTGCTACTACTACTACTTGTAACGGAATATCAATTACTAGTGATAGTAATGATGAGGATAGTTATGATAACGATGACGGTGATGATCATGATGATGATGACGACGATACTAAGAAGGATAAAAGAAAATGTAAATCATTTACATTTGGCGATGTTAACAACAATGATAGTACCAATGATATCATAAATTCAGCTGCAAAGATATCAGATACATCTGTTATAAATGATTCTATGAACATGTCGCAACCTATTCTTACGTCAACAACTACGACATCTGTGGTGACCACCACAACATCTGTGGCGACCACTACAACCACCACGGCTACACTTATGACGTCACCATCAATTAAATCAACAACGAACACACACCCGCCATTATTGACATCTAAAGGATTAACATCTTCAACAGCAGCAGCTACAACAACTACAATTAATGACATAGAAGTCACTTCAGCAGCGTCGGCAGAAGATTTTTACAACATTTCGCGTATATTTGATAGTATGTCAACGTCTGGTCTACCAGCTACTCTTATTAAACCACCGGCATGTTTCAAGGTCTCTTGTCATGTATAAAATGAATAAGCATGCATGCATGCAAACCAGTATAAATATAAATATACATTATACACTTAGACATATAGACAAACTTGCATAAATTTGTTTTTTTTTATTAATTCATTCATTCATTCATATATTAATTAATTTATCTAATAATTCATTTATACTTTCATTCGTTCTTTTATTCATAAACCCATCTTTCCATCCATTTCTCTGTTCATTCATTCATTCATTCATTCATTCATTCATTCATTCATCCAATGCACAGGCCGACTGCAATGCACCTCAGCACATCAGATACACTACACACAACCAGTACGTACATAGGTTCTATAATAGGTTGGTCATTAGTTTTAATGAATGAATGAATGAATGCTTGAATTAATGCATACAAAAATAAATTAATTAATGGAGGAAGGAATGAATTAATGAATAAATTTAAAAAAAAAATAAACGAGTTTATACACTCTTTTTAGCAACAAATGCAAGGTATGTTCGCATGATAATTATATATAAATTAATTTTAATTAGCTATAATTTTATTATAATTAACTATAATTACGTAGATGGGGCTCGAATTCAGTTAAGTTGGCTAGCATCATTAATCACCTTGACTCACAGAAAACTAATTTCTCCAGTCATCCGCTGGTGAGTTTATTATTATTATTGTTGTTGTTGTTGTATTTGTTGTTATTATTTGAATCATCATCATTGTTCTCACATCATCATCGTCATCATCATTACCATCACCGTCATCATCATCATCATCATTACTTTCATCATCATCACCACCATCAGATTGGGGGCGTGGAAGTTGACCTTGCGAGCCTGCTCAATTCTATAAATAGCCACGGAGGTTTCCAGAAGGTCATCGATGAGGTGGCCTGGTGTGACGTCATCCGTGACATCAGAGTGCCTCACGTGGTTTGTTTGTTTGTTTGTTCGTTTGTTCGTTTGTCATGTTGCTATACACAGAACAATAATAATTTGGTGGACCAATCAATCAATCAACCAATCAATTAATCAACCAATGGGTAATCAATCAGTCAGTCAGCTGGTCAGTTGGTCAGTCAGTTGGTTAATTAAATCAATCATTTACTCAATCAACTGACTAATTAATTGACCAATCAATCAATCAATCAATCAATTTTTCAATCAATCAATTAATCAATCAATCTTTCAATCAATTAATCAATTAATCACTCAATCAATTAATCAATTAATCACTCAATCAATGACCAAGCAACCAATAATTTCCACAGGCACGTGACAAAGTATCAAGATTTTACGAGATATACTGCAGATACCTGCTATCATTCGATGCACTATCCGAAAAAGAAAAATTAAAACTGGAAAAAAATGTCTTGCTTAGTAGGGGGAGTGGTGATTGTGATGATCTTTGTATTTCTAAGGTTGGTTGGGTTATTGGTTGGTTGGGTGATTTGTTGGCTGGTTGGTTGGCTGGTTGGTTGATGATTGTTGACTTTTGACTTTTTTGTTGGCTGGTTTGTGGTTTGGTTAGTGGATTGTTTAATTTATTTAATTGGCTGACATGACTTATAAAAGGATTGATTGGTTGATTGATTGATTGATTGATTGATTGATTGATTGATTGATTGATTGATTGATTGATTGATTGATTGATTGATTGATTGATTGATTGATTGATTGATTGATTGATTCTACAGGGTCGTTGCAAAACGCTGAGTGAGTTGTACGGTGTTGCACAGA